TCACTTTCGCCAACACAGCGTCTGTCGACAGTCGGTCGGCAACTGTTCCTTGGTATATCGTCTTCGCCTTCCCTGGCATCATTGCTGCCCACGCTCCCACTCACTCGTCCTCGTCTTCAAAAGTCGGAATCTCGACGTGGAACGAGGCTGCCTCGCCTATTTCGTCGCCCTTTTGGATGGCAAACGCTAGGGCCGCGTTCTCTCTTAGACGCATAGACGCCGGGGTCTCACCGTTGTCTGTGTTGAGCGGCTTCCATCCGGCTGCCAGGTCGCGTAGGTTCTTTGGTGCGGCATAAACGACGCGGGCCTCCTCGCCAGCAGCAGGGATGGGTGTCGTCTCGGGCAGCATGGCCGCGTTGGCTAGGCCGCGTGGGTAACGTTCGCGTAAAACTTCGAGCAGTTGGGTCGAGATCGCGTCAAACGTCGCGGAGCGGTCGACGAAAAGGAAGATGGTCTGTGGTCCGTACTTGAAGCGAAGGGAAATGCCATCGTTGGGGATGTCGATCGCAGCCTTCTCGATTAGCAGGAGCCTATGCGTGACTTTATCTTCGCAAGTGAGTAGCCGTAGCCACCCAAGATTTTCTTACCATATTTGCCAGTTTGCTAGAGGTTTGCTAGAGGTCCGTGGTGTCTTGTGTCTACGGGGTGAGGCTGAAGATGGACGACGTGAAGGTCCGGTCAATCGCTAGCATTCACCGCAGCAGCCAGTCTCCGCCAAGGCAGTGGCCAATCATTAAGTCGCTTTTAGTGGCCCCAGTATAACCGCGGCGCCTGACCCTGGGCCGCTAAATGCAGCATCAAGTTTTGCTCGAACTGAAGCTGTCAAGAGTTTATCATGATGTGACGCTTGCACTTTCGACCTAGCCTCCCGTGCTTATTTTGATCCCTCATCCGTCTGTCATCCCTCTCGCCCATAGTCGATCTACGCGAACACTCAGACAAACAGACAGATACAAGCATGGCCACACCGGCGCGTGGGGGGCTGGCCATCCATGCTATGGATCATTTGGCCTCGGAAACGACGTCCAACAACAAAGACTCTACAACAACCGCACCGATCGCACCCCCGACCCCGACGCGCACGCGAGGTGCCGCCGCGTCGGAGGCCGAACAGGAAGCCATCAACGAATACTGGTGCCAGTCCCGACTATCCTTGCCAGACGTCGTCCGCATCCCGCTCGCTACGATGGCCTCATTTACTGTTGGCATGGGCCTAGGTATTGCGCACGGCAGCACCATGGCCGGTATGCGCTTCCGCGCCGAGCACGCGCACAAGCTGCCGACATCTACCACGGGCTGGTACCTGTACCACAAGTCTAAAAACTACCATGTGGCGTACGGTGGCATCCGCGAGGGCCTGCGCATGGGCGCCAAGGTGTCAGTGTGGACGACGGCCATGTTTGGCATCGAGACGCTGTTTGACCACTACCGCGACACCAAGGACGTGGCCAACACGGTACTGGCCTGTGTCACGGTTGCCGGCGGCTTTAGTCTATGGAGTAAGTGACGGTGTGGAGAAGAAAGGCACAAGAGGGAGTACGTTGAACTCAACTAACATTCGACACAGACCGCTTTCCCCTCGCGACAGCGGCACGGACAACCAAGACGGCCATCCTCGTGGGGTTTGCATATGGCAGCCTACAGGACCTCGCAGGTCTCGCGCGGGGACGTCGGATCAGCTATGTGGATTATGTGCAGCGGAAGTTGAAAAGCCGGAGCCAGCCTGAGGTGCCTGACACGCCAGCTGTATTGCAGAAAGACACACGAGTCATAACGAAATGAACGCATAACGACACATATCCCAAGACACCCAAGATAATGACGAGAAATACGAAGAGAATGCTCAAAGTAACAGACAAGACGAGGCTGACATGGCCAGCGAGGCCAATAGCCCATGTCGATAGACAACGCACTATTCAGCTGTGAAACCCGACTCAGACGTCACCACAGACGAGACAGCGGCCAAACCAAGCCGTTCACGGTCGAGACAGAACCAGCAAACAGGCACAAATGACGTCCCGGGCGCTATGGCAAACGTGGCATGGAATGAGACCTTGTTGCGTTGGGTCTTTTAACGTTTGTTGCACCTTGTTGCGTCTTGCTACGGCTTAACACGCCAGGCACAGGCGTAGGAATGCGCTTCAGTGACCACTAGCCCGTCCGAGATGCTGGCACATGTTGATTTGCGCGCTCTCCGTGCAATCCAGGCTTACAGTACTCGCCATTCACGCTTCATTGCCACACTGTGCTATTAGCGCTTCACCAATCCCTCGATCATCGAGCATGAAATGGCCGAAACTCGCAGCTCGATGGGGGAAATAGACTGATTTTCTCTCTTCGGCTTCCACATTTTTGTACTTCTATTACATGCATGCCATTCATTCACGCTCTGAGATCTTCTCCGGCTTAGCGTATGGTCCATTTTGCGGGGACTTTGGCCACATTGAACGGCCATTCAAGGCATTGTCCTTAATGAAGGTCAAATTGCGGCCGATTGACGGATTAGAATGGAAAACGCTTTGGTTATGGGTACTAATGGAGAGTTGAATGCTGCCAGCGCAGGCCGTTACAATGAACCACTCGGCTATCTGCGGCATTCATGTACGCCCCGCCGCACACGTGATCACTAACACGAGAGTTTGGTGCATTCTCAATGTCTTTCAATTGGGCCGCCCTCTCGTGTGATAAGGGCAGTCGACTCGACCTACGGTATTGATTTGCCAGAACCTCGAATTACTTACCGGACCGAGCCAGTGCTCTAGAAAATGATGCGAGAATCATATTTGCTACAGCTTGTCCATTTCATAACAGTCCAGAACCCCGGTTGCTCTTGCCCCCTTTGCGATAGTCGGAGGTTTGGGGCGAGCTATTTGCATCGGAGAGCCGCTCCTTCCCTCCCTCCTCCTTTTATTTATACACCCGCCTTCCATTTCCGGGAACTTGTGAACGCTCGTAGTGTCTTATTTTAGGTCCTGCCTGTTTTGATACACTCTGACATTCCCGTCGACTCTCGTGATCTATCTCCTCGTCTCCACACATCCTGGGGCCTTCGGGTTAATATCTTGTCCAACGTCCCTGAGACTACCATCATCCCACCATCACTTATCTATCTTCTCCATAGATAACTCGTGCTTGCCCACTCCTATCTACACCAATAGTCCTCTCTCTCGATCTCTGATCTGACTTCTCGAATCTCTCTTCTTTCTCTTCATAACATTACATTTGTCGATTTCTCCCGAGATTCTCGCCTCTATCAACATTTACCACTGCCATGCTGTCGTCGCCGACGGCGGCAGCGCGTCACGCGCTACGATGTGGTGTTTCCACCATCTCTGTGGCATCATCGTCTACCTCCAACACGGCGCCCCGTGGCCGAGCTATCCACACGTCCAAGCAGCGGCCAAGTCCGCCCATCCCGGCCGATCATCTCGCCATCAATAATGGCCCCGCCGTTTTTGGCGCCACGACAACACCAGCAGCAGCGGCTCCCGGTCCAGGTAAACCGTCAGCACTCTCGGTCTTGCCGCTTTCGTCCATCTTGCGCTCGCTTATGGCCACAACCGTTTCATCGTCGCCACTTCTTCTAGGCCCGTCCATGGCCGTTATGACGTTGCTTTCCCACAGCACAAACCCCTTACTGAACCCGGACCGAAACTTCCTGCTGCGATATCTATTGAAAAAGACCTTCTACGCTCAATACTGTGCGGGCGAGAACGAGCGCGAGGTGCGGCAAACGGTTGACAACTTGAAGAGCATCGGTTTCCGCGGTGTGATTTTGGGATACGCCAAGGAGGTTGTGCTCAAGGATGAAGAGAAGAAGAATCTCGATACATTTGATGGCTCAAACCGACTTGAAGCCACGGCGAACGAGATCCGCTCGTGGGCCGAGGGCACTCTCGAGACGGTGCGGCTAACGTCGGCCGGCGACTTTGTGGCCCTCAAGTTTTCGGGCGCCGGCATTCAGGCACTGCACAACCTGTCGAAACAGCTCCCTCCGTCGCCACCGCTTGCCGATGCCATCGACCGGATCTGCCAGCTGGCGGTTGAGCGCAAGGTGCGTCTCCTGTTTGACGCTGAGCAGCAAGCTGTGCAGGCAGGCATTGACGACTGGACCATGACGTACATGCGCAAGTACAACACGCCCGAGCAAGCCTTTATATACGGTACATATCAGGCCTACCTCAAGGCCACGGGCGCCGTTCTGTCAGCGCACCTACGCTTGGCCCGTGAGGGCGGATTCGCGCTGGGCGTCAAACTCGTACGAGGCGCGTACCTGGGCTCGGACCCGCGCCATTTGATCCACGACACTAAGGAGGACACCGACCGCGCATACGATGGCATGGCGGAGGGGCTGCTGCGACGGGAGTGGACGGCACCTCTAGTGCCGGGGACGGGAACGAACGATGAAGCATTCCCGGTCGTGGGACTCGTGGTGGCGTCGCACAACGCGGCCAGCGTGGAGCATGTACAGGCACTGCTGGTGTCGGGCATGGCCAAGACGACGGATGTGGCCTTTGGGCAGCTGCAGGGCATGGCCGACGAGATCAGCTGCCAGCTGGTGCTGGACGACACGATTGCGCAGCAGCAGCCGGACACAACGGTGCCGCCCCTTCAGGTGTACAAGTATCTGGTGTGGGGCACGACGGGCGAGTGCATGAAGTACCTGTTGCGGCGGGCGCACGAGAACCGGGACGCAGTGCGGCGGACCAAGTGCAGCAGGGACGCTATGATGGCGGAGTTGTTGCGGCGGTGCAAGGCTGTTTTTGCACGGAGGGCCTAGACTGGGGGGTAGAATGCCATTCGTGATTTTTGTTTGCTCATACACTTGCGTTGAACCAAAGAGGTGTCTTCCAGCGTTGATTTAGCATGGCAGAGTAGCCGTTCAAGATTTTGTTTTCGTTGTAATTGAAACAGTTGCCAAACAGGAATACCATACCGACGCCTTGGCCTTGAAACGCCATAACCTAACAAAGTAACGCCCTCTATGTCACATCCTCCTTTTACAATCCCCGCAATGCCATGGCGCCCAGCACCAGCACTTCCGCCTGGTGTCGCTTGGCCGGCGTGTCCTCGTTGCCGGCCAGAGACGGCACACCGTTCAGCTTGTAGTACTTTCGTACACGTGCCAGATCTGTGCACTTGGCCAGCGCTACGGAATCCGACAGCGATGTGGGCGTACCCTGCACATGCTCGGCCAAATGCTCCCAGACTGGAGCTGGGTCGGCGCCGTCCAGCAGCACCTTGACGGCCACTACATTTCGTGTATCTGCTGTGATTCCATACCGGCGGTATGCTTCGGCGATCTGTGGCTGTTAGCAAAGCTTGTGGCGACGGCGAGTATGGCAGGCGAAGAATAGAGAGGAAGCACTGGGGGAACTACATTTAACGACGGACTCAGCGACAGGACCGCCTCCGAATGCACATTGGGCGTCTTGAGCGTCCCTGACTTGTGCGCCAGCACAGCTTTGTAGACTGCCGCCAGCAGGTGGGTGCGCGAGACGACAGTGGCGGCGTCGATGAGCGCGTACTCGAAGTCGGCATTGCGAGCGACGAGCTGAGCCTGCAGAAAGGCGGCGTTGGCCGCGTCAGTGAAAAGTGCGGCGTACACGGCGTAGCCCGGTGGGAGGTGCTCGATGGCGACGGCAAAGTCCGCGAGCTCCATGGTGGGCTGACGGTGGTTTGCAGTGGTGACGTGAGGTTGGCGAAAATGACTGTTTCAGTGGGATGAAAATTTGAGGCTCGATGCCGCCCAGAATGTATTGCTGGATTGCCCCACCACGACTAGTGACGCCTACATGTCAGTGCCGCCTGCCCGGTGTACTATCAGCTCAGCGCAATACAATAAACAAAATTATTGCATTTTTGCAATAGCGAGATACATACGGCTTTCATGCATGGCCTTTGCTCACTTCCAAAAAAAAAATTGATAGTACTAAATCGTAATTTAATTGAATGTTTTCATGTGATTTCTTGTACTAGATTATTTGTGAGGTAATTATTTTGATTTTCTTTGTGTAAAATTGAACAAATGTAAGTAAATAATATTAATACGACCCCATGCCACGTACCTCTGTCCTTATTCCATTTACTCAGATTCTTTTCCTTCACTGAGCCATACCTACGGTCACCCCATTTTGGCCCTAGGCACCTATTCCTTTACATACTGCCACCCACCCGCCGGCATGCCTGCGGCTGCCCCCCGGGCACGGCGCGCCGCCGCGCGGGCCCACGGCCCGGCCGCACCACCCCCACCTCCGTTATCCCCCGCCAAACGTGGCCGCCCCCCGACGGCCAACAGCTCCGCACCGACCAGCAGCCCCATCCCCCGGACGCCCGAGCGTGACACCACAGGCCAGGCAGGCCCCCAACAATCCCCGTCCAAACGGAGCCGCACCATTGAGGAGCTGACTACCCCCTCTATGCCCCCGGCCTTAAGCACGACGACCACCGGCTTTAACGGCGACACCGCGGCGCCGGCACCACTCACCACCTTTATCCCCCCCGATGTCGCCGTTATCTGCGGTATTGCGGAAGCCCACGCTACCACCGCCACCGCCGCCTTGTTAATTGTATACCGGGCCGACCCTTACGTCGGGGCCTCCCTTGATACGGTCCTTTAGAAGTTATTCTACACTGTCACCTCCTAAGCCCTCCGTATCGTTATACCGCCCCCGGTCACCTTAACCACGCCTATACTAGTCACCGGCTCCGAGACTAGTTATTCTACCACGTTTACGGTGGCGGTGGTAGAGATATAAACTACCCTTATATTACAATAAACACCCACGTACCTTAACAACCCCGGTAACCCCGACACCCCGGTAACTAAATGTCATGGCATGCCCAAACACCGTTGAATCTACGGGGATTCAACGGGGTTTCACCGCTTATGTCAGTCAGGCCTTACTAGCGTGCCTGTTGGGCGCGGCCCGCCAGCATGGCCGCCGCCAGCCGCCAGGGCCCTGGCCAATTGTCAGGCACCTACAGGCCCCTTCCACTTACTTGTCATTCGCCAGAGATTCTACGGTGCATCGCAGAGTGCCTATACACTCCCCTCTATAGCTGGCCGCCAGCCTCTAAGGCCAGGGCGCCTTCTGCGTGGGTGCCTTAGGCATGCGTTGATTCAACGGGGAATCTACGGTGTTTCTACAGATAACAATATAAGCTCATCCGAGCCCTCTCCTCTCGATGAGGCGGGGTAAGGATTAGATTTTGCACATCCTACTACCCACGTTTTGGCTGTCTTGCTTCGTGATCCTCTCTCTATTGAACCCCTATCCCTAGGACCCTCTGACAACCACGGCCTTACTAAAGTTAAAAGTAGTCTACTAACACAAATTCGCTCCGGTCATATCGGTCTCCGGGCCTACCTCTTTAAAAGGAAGGCGGTAGATTCACCGGAGTACTAATACGGTGCCGGAGAAGAGACCACGGCCCACGTCCTCTTAGACTGCACCGACACCCCGCCCCGGCCACCCGATTAGCCCCGCACCACCGACGAGCTACACCGGCGGCTACACTCCGGACTAATGGTTAGACCCCTCCTCCGGTGGCTTATCCGGAGCGACAGGCTACCGGAGTACCGGCTAGCCCGGGAGCTAGAGCAAACATCGGCACCGGACTAACCACCCCACCCCCCTCCCTCTCTCTCTCTCTCTCTACTTAAATTGTTTATCTTGTTTGATTATGTTACCATATAACGGCACCTATAGAGGGCCGCTGCACACACCCGACACACGGAAAGTGTTCACACGTAGTACTGTGGTAGTTTTTTCCCCATGAGGGTTCTGCCTAGCTAGACGCCAATAGCCAGGACTGGCTGAGAAAGGCGAATAATAATAATAATAAGTAAATAATATTATGTATAAATGAACAACAACTTGGAGCAGATTCCATTAATTTAACGGTTCTCATTTTACTTAGGAAACAATTCAGTCGTAATCAATAGAAGTATCTTTAGACGTAAGATATGTAAACTATTGCTGTACTTACACGCTTACAACGCGCTACAACTTGTCCTTACTAGCGCCCTCGGTGTCGGCAATGCGAAAGACGTACTTGATGCCGTGTGCCTTGCCGTCGCGCAATTTCTGCAGGCCAGTTTGCACGCCGGCCAGGCCACCAGGCACAACTTCATAAGGATGGCCCTTGAAGGTGCCCTCGGACAAGGCGCGGCCCAAGTAGCGCGAGTAGACGAAGCCTAGATCCTTGAGGTCGCGGTGGACACGGCCGACGCTCGTGAGGACGGACTGCACTGTCCCCTTGATCCGCTCGTCGTCCTTCCACGGCAGCACCAGAGAGACATGGCCGTCGGGCTGCAGTACCGAGCTCACAATGTAGTTGCTGCTGCCCTCGCTGATGGCGTTGACGGCATGGCGAACAGTCCGGCCGCCCACGGCCTTTTTTAGAGCGGCAATGGCGGCGTCGTCGCCTCCGCGGTAGTCGACGACCACGTCGCCTTTGCTCTTGTCAAGAAGGGTCTCGACAAAGGCAGTCGACTGGCCAGCGACGGCAATGACGGGGTGGATGTTGGCGAGGCGAGCCAGTTGAATGGCGGCAGCACCGACGCCCGAGGACGCGCCGTAGACGACGAGCGGCGTTTCCGCGACAGCACCGTGTTTACCGGAGTCGTCCAGGCTCTTCCACGGGTCGGGCTTGTCGGTGGCAGCGGCCGTGGTCCACGGGTCCGGTAAGCCCAGGTCGTGGAAGAGCGCAACGGCGGCCGTCAGGGCCACGAGCGGGATGGTGGATGCCTCTTCGAACGACGTGGTCTCAGGAATGTGGAACGTCGTGTGGGCCCAGGCCAGGGCATACTCGGCAAAACTGGCGGCGGCCTCACCAATTTCGTGGAAGGCGGCCACGCGGTCGCCGGCCTTGAACTCGGTCACACCGGCACCCACGCTCGCAATAATACCGGCAATATCGTCGCCCGAGTTATGGGTCAGGTCACGCCACGCGGGAAGCTTCCAGTCCTTGGGGTTGGAGCCGGAGACGACGACCTTGATGAGGACCTGGCCAGCAGCCGGGTTCGGAACGGGGACATCGACGATCTGCACGACAGTGTCTAGACGGGAAGGTTAGAGGAGAAATGGTATAAACATTTACAGAGCAGCTGGGAGGAATACCTTTGGAGACTTGAGCTTCCTTCATGATGGCGGTGTAGTATGGCGAGGCGTTGATGTCAATTGGATGTGGTGTTGTCAGGAGGGCACTGGCCATTGCCGTCAACAGACGGCCCCTCTCGAGCCGCACGCCATGACTTATATGCCGAGCCGCACTATGATGCAATCCAGTAGGCGGTTTGGAGTGGAGGGCGGAAAACAGAAATGGAAAACGATCGCGGGGATATGTATTGAACAGTGCATATTGTCAAGGGCTGTCCGGGAATTGTTTAAGCGATCGCGGTACTAGGAAGCGCTAACTGCATGGCGATGTTGTGGCACGCTTAGAGCTAAGTCGTCACTCTATAAGATTCGTGTACTGTGCACATATGTCGTAATGGCAACTCCAAAGAAGCCGCATTTCCAATCACGGAGCGCAGAAGATGTCGGACATCCGAGGTATTATTTGCTTAACAAGAACCGGGCCCCGGAATGACAGAGCGCACTCGAGATTTCGCCGGTCGAGAGCGGACGAAACGACTGCATTGGTCAGCTATGGGAGCCCAATACAGTGTAATTCGTATAAAGCCTACTTTTGGCCAAAGTGGGGCGCGTTTCGGAGATGGGGTGTCGCCGATAAGACCTGCCCATACGAGGCATGGCATAGTATCGGCGGTGTTCAAAAGGATTTTATTTACTCAGCAGACGTTGAAAGGCATTAAAAATGTTCTCGATGTGGTCTCCTTAACACAACTGGAGTTAGCAGCCACCGCCGGCTGGGTGTGCATCAAGATAGGCGGTAGCGGCGTGCATTTACAGGGACTACAGCGAGACTGGGGTGCTGACGGCTAGTGGACAGGCACAAAAAAATACTGGAAGATATTCTCGCGGAAGGTGATTGGCTGAAATAGACCTCATCGACGCCAACACCCATCAACATTACCCACATTGCATGCCATGACACGACGAAGTCAACGGCAACGGTGTCCATAATGCGCGCCACAACAACAAACCAATCAATTCTTATTCCTCTGTATACAACATAGCCTGCACATCTTTCGCCAGTCATCGGTACCGCGACAACTGAGCCTACAGCTTTGGTGTCGACAGCGCACGCGAGACCTCTTCTGCTCCACGAATACCCGAGCGCAGCGCGCCGTCCATGTAGCCTTTCCACTCAAAAGCCGTTTCGGTGCCGACAAAGTGTACCTTCCCATGGGTGGTGCGCAATGCGTGGTCGTACAGGGTCATGGCGCCCGGCGGTGCGGCTGGACACGGGCAGCCCTGGGCCCATTGGTCGTGCGACCACTCGTGCTCCTCGAAGCCAACCGGGTCGGGCACGCTGCCAGGAGGAAGACTTGCGCCCAGTGTGGCCTTGACCTGGTCGACTACGGCCTGGAAGCGGTCGGCCCGGGCCATCTTTGAGTAGGCAATGCCTGCGTCGCCGGCACAGAAGCAGGTGAGGGAGAACTGGCCCTTGGAATCGACGCTGGAATCACGCGTCACCGACGCTGGGCCGGCCTGAACAAACGACTGCAGCATGCCGCACAGCCCGGACTCGCGCCACCACGGCCTGGCGTAGCGCACAATGACCTTGTTGATGAAGCCGAGCTTGTTGGCGCTGGCAAGGGCGGCTTTGGCGGGCGGCAGCGGCGGCTCAAACTGGATCTCTTTGTACAGCGGCGTGGGCACCGACACGACGACGCGTTTGCAGACGAAATCGCCGCGGGCCGACACGACACGGACACGGCCGTCACTGCCTGTCTGGACGATCGACCGGACGGGCGACGAGAGGAGGACGGTTCCCGCTTTGAGCAAAGCGGCCAGCCCGATGGACAGGCTCTGTGTGCCGCGCTCGAAGCGCAGGTACTGGCCGCCGTTCTTCTGGTCGGAGCGCATCTGCAACAGCCCCCCGCCGCTCTTGCAGTAGTTGAGGAAGAAAAGCGCGCTGCAGTCACGCGGCTCCATGCCCAGCATCGCACGCGTCCACACGGTCGCCGAGGCCAGAGCTGTCGCGCCGCCGCCGACCGACGTGATCCACTGCTCAAACGTCATGCTGTCCAGATGGCCGCCCGTGCGTACAGGGTCACGGATGTCGAGTGCCTGGCACGCCTTTTCGGTTGCGTCTCTCAGGGCGGCCATATCGTCGACGCCGCCTGCCGTCGCCAGTCCTACTGGGACCGAACCGTACGGAAACTGCGACACGCCTCCGTCCCGGTCTTGTTGGACGACATTGCCCGTCGTGTTTTGGACCACCAGTTTTAGGCCGAGTGCCTGCGCCAGCGCGTGCACCTCGCTCTGGTTTGTGTCGTTGATCCACGCCGCACCGCGGTCCACAAACTTGCCGTCGCCCGTCGTCTGCTCAACCGACCACGTCTTGCCACCCACGCGGTCGCGCGCCTCTACCACTGCCACCGAGTAGCCCGACTTTTGCAGGTCGTATGCCGTCTTGAGCCCGCTGAGGCCGGCACCCACGACCACCACGTCCACCTCCTGTGTTGGCTGCTGCGGGATCGCCACATACGCCTCCACCTCAAACTTGAAAGCGGGCCGCGCCAGGCAAGGCACGGGGACAAGCGTCGTCGCCGGCCGGTGGCCCTGCAGGAATGCAACGAGCGGCTCGACGTGCACGCGGTTGTTGGGGTCGTAGTCGACAATGTAGTACACCAGCTTGATAATGTCCTGGACGGTGGCGCCCGCTGCTTCGAGGCACCGCTGCAGACCTGAATACGCCACGGCCATCTGCTCGCGCAGATCCTCGGGCACGCGCCCGTGTGCATCGACGCCCACCTGGCCGGCCGTCATAATGACCCGCGACGGGCCCAACACGCTAGCAACGTGCGAGAAGGTCGGTCGGCTGTCAAACAGTCCGTGCGGGTCGCTGGTGACGACGACGGGCTTCATTCTGGTGAGAAGTGGTGGGCAGAGTCTGTTGTGTGATGTACTGGTGTGAGCTAAATGATGCGAGTTGGCTGCTTGGTCCGAGTAGTCTGAGCTTGGTGGTCATCTTTCTTCGTCTACTTCTCTTTCCCCTTTCCTCTTTTATGAGCAAGGTACACTGTCGAGTGTCCGAAGACGGCTTCTCTGAAGGGCATGCTGACTCCCAGCACTTGATGGCATCGCCACGTAGTCGTGCCGAATGCCGTTTCCCACTCGCGAGATGCGCAGCCGAAGTTGGCGTATGCACACACACACACACATACACCCTCTCTCGCCAAGCGTATAAGTCATGACAGTGTCACATTCGGAACTCGATGCAAGACCGAATCTGAGTTCCGAGTTGCGGGCGGTGGTCACAGGGGTCACAGGCGCTTGTCGTCCACTACACACGCTAGCGTCCGCTAAAGGTGCGGAGTCGACGAGACGTCTTATCGGTAGTGCGTTTGGGGCGTTATGGGGCCAACCGCTCACTCATTGCGAACCATTGTTTTGTCATCTCGCGCAGAACGCACAGAAGCCATTGATTGTCGGCGGATATGCTTTTCATGACGCGAAGTTTTGATTTTCAGAATCGGCATCTCTGATTGTTGACAGAAGAAAGTCTGACGGACGCAACTTCTTCGTCTGGGAATGCAAATTGTGTTGCCTTCTAACGCTGAGCACCTCCAGCACGTATCAACACTGTAAGATACAGCACATTACAGCACGTTACGGCGTTCCCCTCACAATGACCTACAGCACACCACCGCCTTCGTCACACTCCTCCAGCATGCGGACTACACCAACATCCCGGCGACAGCAGATGCACTCGTGCGATGTCTGTCGCCGCCGCAAAGTCCGCTGCGACTCTGTCGATGAGGCACCCTGCAGCGCCTGCACGAAGGCCGCCGTCGAGTGCCGCTTTACAGTCGGCTGGCGACGACAGCGACGGCCGCAGACTCGGCCCGGCTCACGTCCCCAGCGGTTCTCCCAGCGGTTTTCGTCGTCGTCGTCGTCGTCGCCGTCGTCGCCACTGCCACCTTCGCCGAGAGCGTCTTTGGACGAAACAGCCGCCACCAGCACAACCGTCAACACGACCGCCGCCACGACTGCCGCCACGGCCAGCCCTGCACATACGTCGGTGTCCTGCTCCTGCCCACACAACCACCGCAGCGACAGCACCGACACACACACGTCGCACACGAGCCTCGCCGTCGAGCCACCGGAATCCGAGGTCGCACTCTCCATCAACATTGCCGAGAACGGCCTGCTGCGCTTCTTTCGCGACGGCCTGTCCTCGTCGTCTTGGGGCGTGTTTGATATGCCTGACAATGTGCGCGTCACGTACATGGGCACGCACATCTCCAACATGACACACCTCATCAAGCTGGACCGCCCGCGCCCGCAGTATCTCGTTTACCCCTACCCGCAGATCCGGCCGCCGCTGTCGCCGCTGTCCTGCCAGCAGGCGCAACGGCACATGCGGACCGACGAGCTCCGGACGAAGGCGGCAACCAAGTCCCATGATGCCGCTGCCCGAGACGACAACGCAAGCTCGTCGGCTCCGTCTGCCTCGGCCCCATCTGCCTCCTTTAATGCCTATCCGGACGTTGTCGTCCGCGACATCAACTCGTTTCCTGAAAAGGAGATCCGCGATGACTTTATCGACGCCTACTTTGAAAAGGTCAACCCCTACTTCCCCGTCATCGACGAGTCTGACTTCCGCGCGCGCTACGCCGACCCGCACAACCAGCCGGCCCTCGTGCTGCTGCACTCTGTCCTGCTCGTCGGCGCCCACGTCTCGTCCCACGCCAAGGCCGTGCACGCCCGGCACATTGTCAAAGCCGTGCTGTTTCGGCGCGCCAAGTGCGTCTTTGACATGCGCCACGAGCACGACCGCCTGCACCTCGTTCAGGCCGCCCTGCTGTTTACGTGGCATCTGCAGAACGGCGACACCGCCAGCTCCAACAGCTTCTACTGGCTGGGCGTTGCCTGCCGCATTGCCTACGGGATTGGCATGCACCGCGACCTCATGAAGGACCCTCTGGAGCCGGGCCGCATGCCCATCCAGGACCGGCGGCTGTGGCGCCGTATCTGGTGGACGCTCTTCCAGGCCGAGGTGCTGTCGGCGCTCGAGCACGGCCGCCCCTCGGCCATCCGCCGCGAAGACTTTGACCAGGATCCACTGTGCCTCGAAGACTTCCGAGAGGTGTCGGGCCGCATCAACCCCAACGTCCAGGTGGCTTTCTGCGTGCGCCAGACGGAGCTTTGCCAGATTGCCCTGGATGTCATGCACCTCAGTGCGCCGGGCGTGGCGCGCGTGCTGCGCGGCGACGACCTGAGGAGACGTGCAGACGAGCTGAATGCGCGGCTGGTGCGCTGGATGCTGACGCTGTCGTCGTCTGGCCTCGGCAAGACGGACAGCTTTGGCGACATCTACCTCCGCCTCAACTACCACACCCTCGTCATCCATTTATACCGCTTGTCTTTGGCCGAGTTGGCTGATTTTTCGACCGACGCGGCCTCCTCAGACAACGCCCGCCGCGTCGGCAGTAGCGCCAGTGGCGACATTGTCTCCTGCTTCGAAACACTCCACGAAAAGAACATGCTCGCACAGTGCCCCTGCAACGCAGTGACGGCCCTGACTGCCGCTGCGATCCAGATTGGCAAGGACGTGCAGTGTTCGCTGGGCGTTTTGGGCGAGGCAAACGGCGGACCAGACAGCACGGCGTCCTCCACCACAACCAACACGATGCTGGCCGTTAACGGGCTGTGTCTCCTGGACCGTGTCTGCGTCGCCGCCGAGCATCTCAGCGTCTTCTGGCCCAACGTCGAAGGCGTCCGCAAGGTATTTCGCAGCCTCTATGAGCGGTTCACCACGGCCCTGGACGGCATCCAGATGCAGCAGGAGCAGCAACAGGCCCTGCAGGGACGGCAGGGACATATGGACAGCGATGACCAAATGGGGCGTGGCACCAGTGTGGGTCCCTCGGCGGCAGCTGTGTCGATTCTGGACGACGGCTTTGGCGGCGTGGACTGGACGGACATTCTGGGCTTGACATGGCAGGTTGGACACGGCCACAATCTCCAGGACGCCTGCCAGACGTGGGATGCATCCCTCTTTGGACTGGACTAGGCGGGCGGATCGTGAAAAAGTATATAAAATTGTTACAATTTGACGTTGACGACGCTGTCACGTTGTCTATCTGTTTCTACTTTATGCTTTCCTACCGTTGATAACGTCATCGACCACCTCTGTTACTGACAGCAAATCTTCATCCTGGTAGGGTTGCTTGACGATCTGCACGCACACCGGCTGGTTTTTCCACAGCTCAGGGTCGTCTGGTTGGTTAGCAGGTGTTGTGTCCTTCAAAGTACGTACTGCAAAGGGACGACTTGACTCACAAATCTCGTGGCTCATCTTGTCAAACGGCGAGTTTGTCCGTGGCGTGTAGTCGGCATCCCTGGGATCCTTGGCAGCGTCCACCTTGAATCCCTTCAAGGGCAGAATCGTCGAAGGATAGTCCAAGATGTTCCAGAGCGAGAAGTAACCCCACCACACAGGGAACTCGTGCGGAAACCCGGCCGACGGCATACAGGGCGACAAGAGCGCGTCCATCGGCCGGCCCGTACCTGTTTTGTTCTTGGTGGCCATCCACGCCTGGTTGAACTGCTTGCGGATGGCGCTCTGCTGTGTGTTGAGCGCGTACACCTCGGCTGTCGTCAGCTCCTTGATTTCGTACAGAGCCAAGTACCACGAAAAATTCTCAGTCAGTGGCTCGTTGCCGGCTGCCACGAGTGCCTGCGACTCTTTGGCGCCTGTCTGGAAGTACAGCTTCCACGTTGTCCGGGCCACCTCCCACAAGTCCATGGGCGGTTCGAATTCGATGACGTCGTGGCCCGCGGCCTTGAGCGCTTGCACCGTCTCGTCCAGTGACCGCCGGATCGGCGGCTGCGGCCGCACCACGCCGTCGTCTCGGAGCACCCCAAAACACAGCTTAGGCGGCAGGAAAACAGCCTCCTTCCAGGGAAACGGCACGCACGTCGGGTCGTAGCCAATGTACTTGTAGTGCTCCAGCAAGATCTTGGTCACCAGCCGCAAGTCGGCCGTACTGTGGCAAGTCGGCCCACACGCTACCTTGATGGAGATCTGGCCGGGCGCAGACGTCGTCAGGCCGCCCTTGGGGATGCGCTCGGACGACGGCCGGATCGCGTACAGCCCGTTACAGGTCGCCGGTGCTCGGATGCTGCCGCCAATGTCGGTCGATGGGCAAAAAGGCGACCCGTGCATGCCCACCAGCGCACCGTCGCCGCCCGACGACCCTCCGGCCGAGAAGCCCCGGTGGAACGGGTTCAGCGTGCGGCCCCAGAGATTGCTGACCGTCTGCAGCATCATGCCTGTCTGCGGCATCGTTGTGCGTGCGAATGGCACGACGCCCGCTGTCTGCAGCACCGTAACAAGCGACGCGTCTATGTCGACGATGTTGTCGTGCCAGGCAACGGCGGCAAATGTGGCCGCTTTGCCCTTCATCATGAGCTGTTCCTTGATGGCAATGGGCAGGCCGTGCAAAGGACCGACCGGCTTGCCCGTCGTCTTCAGAATGGAATCGAGCTCGGCTGCGCGCTGCATCGCCTCTTCAGCAAAGTAGTCGGTCAAACAGTTGACCTACAAGGTGAAGTCTATGTTAGAGTCGTCCCATCTCTTTTCTTGTTTAAAAAATGAAGGAAAAGGAGGGAAAGATAAAAGACATCAGTGAGACACGTACACATTGATGAGCAATGGCTGCTCGTGCACAAAAGGCTTCTGTGAGCTCGACTGACGTCAGCTCGCCGCTCTGCAGCTGTTTGACGAGCGCATCGGCCGTCTGCTCGGTCAGGGCCAGCTGTCGGTCCGTCAACAGACCACACGACCGGGGCACGCCGGTGACGTCGGTGACGGACGCATCTGGTGGTGATGGCAGGTGCCACTTTTGCGGGATGGCCTTGAGGACATTCGCCTGACACGTCGCGGCAATGCTTTCCCAATCCATAGTGTAGAATGATTTTTTGCTGATTTATTTTTGCTGTGGTTCCAGCAGCCAGAACGTTCAAAGGCAACTTGCCCGTACTTCTTAGCCATGGTAGTCAATAGTTATACCAGGCGCACGCGTCAATTCTAAAACAGGAGATAGATCAGAGGCCGGAAGTTGACCGGCCTTGATGTCTGGCTGGTCCCCGAATGGAGGTGGTCGGTACTCGGAACTGGCAAGATAGCTAGTCACGGGCCCCTCACTCGCCAGCGTTTCCGATGGAAGCCGGACTTGCAGAGCCCATAGCGTCGGCCTGGGAAGACGTTAGACTACGATAATAAAAATTTATTCACGAATGTGAATAGCAAGTAACGACTGGTATTGCACAACATTTTTTGTTGACTTTGGAATCAGCTACGAAAGTGGAGCTAGCAACTGCTCCCTGAATCCGAAGGAGGGGAACCGAGAGTAGGCGTGTTCTGCCAGAAACGATCGTCAACTCCAAGGCAGGCCATTACCAAACACCATGTGCGACATGGTGAGGAGAACTGACTTGTATACGGAGTACGTACTTTGTTGAAGCTAGTCACATGCAGGCAATGTAAGATGACGTGTCCGGGGAAACTCGAAGTTAATGCACACCCCTGGCACCATGGTTTGTCCTCCGTGTAAGTGAACAAAACTATGATCATGATAACCATTGCATTGCCGCCGCCAGTCCCGGGTGCCGAAAGCCACACTGACAGAGAAGCAAGCCAAGGAGAGCCAAGCTAGCTTGTTAAGCATCACAAAGATAAATAGGATGGTGGACTGAGGGACTGAGAAGTTGATGTTTGTTTACATACGAGCTCCGAGATAACATACAAAGCTACCACACTGTCAAACTACCAAGCAAAACCATACCCCCCGCCAATGCCTTCTATCCAGCACCCGACGTCCCTTCCATGGGACCCGCACAACGACGTCTTCCCCGCGCGCCGCGATCTGCCACGCCTTTCCGGCCACTTCAGAGACGCCCCTGGTGGTGCCGCGTGGGTCTGGGGCACAGACGACCAGTTGGGACGCCTCAACCTGCTGACGCCCCAGCGCGTGGCCTTGGCGGCACGCGAGCAGATTGTGTCTGGGGCATCAACGAGGGTCGACCTGCCGCTGGATGTCCCAAAACACCCCAGCTGGCAACGCGAGCCGTTTGTCCACAATATCAAAGTCGTCCTTGGTGAGGGTGGCATTGGACACGACGATACATATTCTCTAAACACGCAGTCCGGAACACAGTGGGACGGCTTCCGGCACGTGTCCTACGGCAATACAGGCTTGTTTTACAACGGCACCACGGCCGACGGCATCCAGCAGTCGACCGAGCCCGGCGGAATCCACCACTGGAGCAGCCGTGCCCTTGCCGGACGGGGGGTGTTGCTGGATTACCGGGCCTACTGCGACAGCCTGGGCATCTTCTATGACTCGGCGTCGTCGCACCCCATTTCCTATGACGACCTGGTCGCCTGCAGCAGGCATCAGGGCATCGACATTCGGCCGGCCTCGCAAGGCGGTGATATTCGACCGGGCGATTTTTTGTTTATTCGGTCTGGATTTACGCAAGACTACTACAAGAGGACCGACGCAGAAAACGAGGCCATCGGCAGCCGTTCGGCGCCGCAGTGGGTTGGTGTCCTCCAGGAGCCGAAGATGATCGACTGGCTGCACGACTGCTACTTTGCCGCCGTGGCAGGAGACGCGCCCGCATTCGAAGTCTGGCCCACGACGCAATCCTACAAGCTGCACGAGTATCTTTTGCCGCTCTGGGGCTGTCCTATTGGCGAGATGCTGGATCTCGAAGGCGTGGCCAAGTTGGCCAAGGAGCACGGCCGATGGACCTTTTTCTTTTGCACGGCGCCAGCCAACTGTGCAGGAGGCGTCGGCAGTCATGTCAACGGGACGGCGATTTTTTGAGAGGTGTGTAGTGTAATCATACTGTATCAAAGGTTTTGTTGTCTGTAATTCGTGTAAAGGCCTGGCTGTCGAACTCTCTGACTGTCATCTATCCTCCACTCTGCGTTTGTTGATACTTTCTGCTGGTTCTTTCCTGTTTATTTCTGATTCGACCCTCTTGCCTCACCTTGGGATCCATACGGAGCAGACCCTGAGAACAGAGCCCGTCATCAGCAGCGATAAGGTTGGCTGGGCTAGTGCTGTAGTCGGCGCTAACAGCGCACTAAGGCGCCCGACATGCGCCCGCAGTCTGCTAAGAATTAGTGCCTAAACGGCATATCGCCCACTGAACCCCTCCTCTCGGAACTCGCCAGTGCCGAGCTGCGTGGCTACTGGACGCTGGAATGGCGGGCGTTAGAACTGTAACTTATCTCCTTGCACCGTGGAGCCGGCGTGCGCCGTATCTGACTCGACAGCGCCAGCCTGGTCCAGTGTGTCATGATGTACCTTGTATCTTGATCTTGTATCTGTATCCATGCAACCATGTCAGACAGCTGTGCTATCATGCAGATCCGAGCCTCTCGAGGCCTCTGTCCGCTGTCCATTCCGCGCAAACTGGTGATACTCGCCGCCAGCAGCTGTTTGGCTCGGGGACGTTGGAATGACACGCTGTGGCAGGGTTGAGCACAAGACAAACCAACTTATCTGTACTTGGCAGGATGCGCGCCCATTCACGCATCAAGTTAAAAACCGCCTGGCATCACGGCCACTCTCATTGCTCACCATTCGAGTCTTCTTCTTTGATCTCCACCGTCCATATCCTATTCCCCATAACCTCTCCGCATTGTCGTCAGCTCATCACTCCTTCTCCAGTGTCCCCATCAACCCATCGTAAAGGTGGCCCATAGCTTGCCTCTCATTCATCTCATATCCTGTCACCCACCGCGTCCATCACGCGACTGACCCACCGACACCATGGACGCAGAGTCCAGCGCTGTCAAGCTGCCCTTCCTTCGGCTGAACAAGTGAGTGCCCCATTGCTTGCATCTCTTCACACAATGTACCGTGCATTGACGCCTGCGTCCAGTCCGTTCGTCCAGAACCTCCTCTCCGCCGCATGCCTCTTCTGCAACCCCGGCCTCTACCTGGCCGTGTCGCTGCTCGGCGCCGGTGGCGGCCGGCCCACGTCCACAACCATGGCAAACATTAGCAACGGGACCCTCTACGGCGTATTTGTCTTTTCGGCCCTCATGGCCGGCACTGTGCTCAACACCCTGGGTCCGCGCTACACGATGATGTTTGGCATCACCGGCTATCCCGTCTACATTGGCTCCATGTGGTACTTTGACGCCCAGGGCCACCTGTGGTTTCCCATCTTCGCCGGTGCGTACCTGGGCCTCTGTGCCGGCTGTCTCTGGACCACGGCCGCGTACATGTCGAGTGCCTACGCCGAAGAGAAGGACAAGGGCCTCTGGCGTGCCATACAGTGGACAGGCAACATCTCGGGCGCCGCTGTCGGTGCGTCTGTTGCCGTCGGCATCAGCTGGAACTCTGCCTCGGCCAGCGTGCCCCATTCGGTCTACATTGTCTTTATCGTCATCCAGGTCGCCTCTGCTGGCTTTGCCTCGCTGCTGCTGCCGTCGAACCAGCTGCGCCGCTCGGACGGCACTGCTCTCGCTGCCTTTGAGCACTTGACGGCCTGGGAGTCGCTCAAGATCACGGGTTCGCTGTTCAAGGACTGGCGCATCCTCATCATGATCCCCTGCTGCTTCACGGCCGAGATGTTCTTCCCGCTGCAGGCTTCCATGAACGCCTACGCCTTCAACCTGCGCACCCGCACACTCAACTCGCTGCTCAACAACCTGATCCAGATTCCCGTCACGCTCGGCGTGGGCTTTTTGTTGGATACCGAGCGTCTGGGCACCCGCCAGCGCCGGGCCTTTTACGGCATCACGTTCGACGCCGTCTGGATCACTGGCGCCTACGTTGCCCAGACTATCTGGCTTGCCAGCTGGAAGTTTGACCGTTCCATCCCGGGACCATCCATCGACTGCAATGACAAGGCCTATGCCGGCGCCGTCGTCATCTACATGCTGTACGCCGCCCAGTACGGCGTCTTTCAGAACGTCGTGCTTTACGTCCTCGGCTCGCTCACCAACGAGCCCCGCAAGCTCGCCGCCATGGGTGGCTTCTTTGTTTCCTGGTTGAGCGCCGGCACCGCCGTCTCTTTTGGCGTCGATGCTACCTCCCAGCCTTACGAGAACGAAAACGCAGCCTACTTTGCCCTCACCACAATCTGCTGGCCCATTCTCTACTTTGTCGCCTGGAAGTGCATCAAGGCCACCAACTACGACAAGGAAGACAATGTCATTGTGCCCATTCACGTGCGCCGGGAGCTGCATCTCGACGCCGAGAAGACGGGACCGCTCGAGGGCGTCGAGATGCCCTCCGAGACGCCACAGGCCATGAGCGAGAAGGTGGAGTAGGTGTGTGTGTGCGCGCTTGTACAACGTACTTTGACGTGATTACCACATTGCAGACTCATAGAGTCGCTTGTTTCATTGGTGGAGGCGGGAGAATACAGGTCAAACAGTAAATAGCAATGGGAGCTCCACCGTTTGTTTAATTTTTCAATTTTTTTTTAAAAAAAAAAAACGTTCAATCGTGTCTAATCCACAATGCTCCTAGCTCGCTCGTCCGTACACAGCTCATCGACAAAACGACATATGTCACCTACGAATAGGCTATCCCAAATAGCATAGCTGCTTTTTCGTGTTGTCATCTTTCCCTTAAGGGCAGAGGCATCCTCGTCCTCGTCAACATCAAAAACCCTCCACCAGGGATCGGATACTGAGAACGGCGGCCACGGTGCTTCACCTTTAGTAAAAGACACCCAAGCTGCCACCATTCGATCTGACACTGACTGCTGTGCAGGTAGACCGGTTGAGCCCGTTGAACCGCCCTTGCTGGCCCCTTTGGCATCAACGTCAAAGTGGGCTGACCCCGCGGATGAGCTTTTCACGGCCAGTGTCAGCATTTTCACGCTCCTGCGCGAGCTCGACGATGCCGGAGCCGCCCTCAACAGCCAGCTTCTCGGCCGCCGCCATGAATCTGTATGTCATGCACTTTCCCAATATGAATCTGGGCCGGAGCAGCGACGTTGATTTGCCCGCCATTGTGGCCGATAACTTGCAAGTCTTTTGCGGCCGGTGCGTCACCATTGAACATTGTCAGGCTCTGTATGCGTATGCTAGCCAGGACCGGATATTGTCCACCGGCCGCACGCGTGCCGACTTTGAAGCTTCGGAGTATTCGATTCACGACGTGCGCGGCTAAGTCACCAAAAGAGGGTGCGTCTTTATCACCAGCATCAGCCATCACGCATGCTGTTCCGCGGCTCGCCCTCCCCCCACAAACACAGCGACGCGGTGAGGTCGTTTTGCCGTCTTTCCATAGCCCCGCCGACACGGCAACGCAGGCGTCGAGCGACGTGCACGAGCCGAGCCACAGCCAAGTCTGGCCCCTCTTGGGCAAGCAGCAGACACCCCCCTTTGCCCTTGAAGGGATGCCGCTGGACTACAACCTGGATATCATGGAGATCTACCAAACATGGCCATCAAAATTGAACCGGGATAGTGTGGGGAAGTGGGGAGGGGAAGGGTAGCTCTGAAGCATCCCTCGTTCACCCATCGGGTGAAACCCCAAGAGCGGAACGAAGATGCCGATCTGTAACGCCTTGATGATCGACCATGTACAGGTGCTCACCGGCAGTTACTTCTGTACAATGCTTACCCATGTGTTTGCTTCATTAAGAATCGTCCAATAACACATGGATAACTTAAAGGACAATATCGTACGTACCAGTCGTACCTTCGCTTTTCAGATTCTAGAGTTTGTATCGCGTCCTTTATTACGTCGTTTTTCTTTTCTATTTTCATTGTTGACAGTCAGGACAAACAATTCCCATTGCCCGCAATATTTGATAAAATGCCCTTTGGTATTTGGGACCCAGAGTCTTCTCGGGATGGAACTACCAGTGGTAGTGAATTTAAATTGAATGGCACCGAACTGCTCATCGACGAGGGCCGTGTTGACATCGCCGCCGACGCAGCAGAAAGTCATTTCTTGAAGCGCATTATTCACAAGGTAAAGGATGAATATGGGGCCAGCATACGGGGTGCAAGCTGTAACAAATACAGATTTATTGACTACTGTTCTAGGGTGAGGAGACAATTCTTGTCCCGCAGCCTTCAGACGATCCAAACGACCCATTGGTGAGATGATTTTCTGACCTTCGATATCGCGACCTTCGCGTTCTTATTTCTGACACAATCAAGCTCTGGCCACGGTGGCAAAAAGAGGCAGCATTTTGGACCATTTTCTTCAATGCCATCATCTTTGCCATCCTGCCCGGCCCCATTATTGCACCGGCCACCTTCCTCCTGGCCGGCGTCTTCCACGTACCCTTGACGAGCATCGCTCAGCTCTCCGGCTACCAGCTGCTTGTCGTCGGTGCATTTGGGTAAGATGACAAGCCCCCACCTTTCTTGTCATTGTCAGCGAGCCACAAGTACTTCTAACACGGCCTTAACGCTGCCACAACGTTACAGACCCTTCGTGTCCGTCCTTGCTCAAAAATATGGCAAACGGCCACAGTTCCTTTTCGCCGCAGTCTCCGCCACGGTCGGCACGGCCATTTGCGTCGCAGGGTCTGAGCGTGTGCATTACCAGACCGTCCTGGCCGGCCGCATCATCCAGGGCTTCGGTGTGACGGCATGGGAGAGTCTTGCCGTGGCGGCCGTGGGCGACCTGTTCTACTTGCACGAGCGAGGTCTTCGAACGGCAATCCTGGTCGTTGCTCTTGCCGGCACGGCATCGATTGTGGCCATTATCTCCGGCGCCATGTCGGAGGGTGTTGGCTGGGCCAACCTCTTTGTGGCCCTGCTGCCCATTGACGTGGTGTGCTTGCTGCTCACTGTGTTCCTACTGCCCGAGATGCAATTTGTGCGCAAGACACAATCGACTGCCGTGCTTTCAGACAATGTTGCCGAGAAGCCTGCTCTGGTAGTCCACGCCGAGATGGTCCACACAAATACCAGTGCACAATCCACGTCGTCCCCAACACATGCCCGCAAGTCTTATGGGCAGCGGCTTCGACCCTTCTCTGACCGTCCCTTCACCCAAGAGAGCGTATTTCACCTGCTCTTGGCTGCCGTGGCCCACCTCGGTAACCCGGCTGTCTGGTGGATCCTCTTGGTTAGCGGCGTGCTCGTCTGCTTCTTTGTCGTCACCGCGTACATTCTGTCCCAGATCTTCTCCGTGCCACCCTACAACCTCGGCGTTGCTGCCAACGGTTTCTTTTATGTTGGCCCATTTATTGGCGGTCTCGCCGCTGTCAGCATCGGTCCTCTGTGTGACTGGACAGCCCGTTTCCTAGCGCGGCGGCACAACGGGATATTTGAAGCTGAATTCCGCATTCCCGTCAATGTTCTGGGCCTCTTGTGCTGTGGGCTTGGATGGTTCCTCTTTGCCTGGCGGGTTGACCACGAGGTGGCGAACGGCTACTATCTGGCGTCATTTTGCTTCGGGCTCGTGTGTTTTGGTGTCTCAGTGCCATCCACCTCAGCGGGCCTGTATATTCTGTGAGTCAAGCCAATACCTCCATATCTCACAAAACACAGTTGTTGTTGACAGACGTCAGAGACTCCTTCCCTCGACAATCAACTTCAATTTTTGTGCTCCAGATGATGCTCAAGAATTTCATCTTCTACGGATTCTCCATGTTCATCAACACATGGGCCGCCGTTTCCGGTCCCGGCGCCGTCTTCCGCACATTCGGTATTGTGACAATCGCGCTTTTGGCTACCTGTATTCCAATGTGTAAGTAGTTTCAGAACGTGTATGATATGATATTCATATAATTATTTTTCTGACGTTTCATCATTGTAGATATCCTAGGCAAGGCCAATCGCAGGTTCATGCACGGCATTTATCGTAAATACAGAATCTTCCGAGTCATGGATTAAGAGCCGGTGTTCGAAAACAATTAACAACTAAATTGGAGAAACAGTCCGAACAGCCGCTTCGAGAAACTGTACGCAAAAACAACAGTTGTATTCAGACTCTCGAAATAAGCCACAATTTAGATATGGATTGTTTTCATTGAGGATGCATTGACGATGCGCGCATCCAGTTCGCCACTCCCTGAGGAATTGAGGCCAGGCCATACTTGAACCGTTACACAAAGCCCATGCATGCAGTCTTTACATGCGCTCGTATCAAAATATTCCAATTTGTCCGGATCATTGCTGAACCAAGACGTCTTCTACATAAATTTTCTGCTCATTGAGGTATGAAAAGCATCTAGTATCGTGATTGCAACGTAACTTATGCTAGCTGCCCTTGACAGGACTAAAGGGTTTCAAGATGAATGCCGGGCCCATCATTTCCCACAATTTAAGCCTTCTCGCTGATGTCGGGGCCGTGCAAGGTGGCTCTCCGCTTTGCCTGCTGGCGAAACACCTCGCTGAAGCGGCCGTGGCACATGTTGTTGACGTTCTCTTTGATACCCGCCCAGTTCTCCCGGACAATGCTCATCGTCGGGCGCTCAAAGACCTCGTCAATCTCCTCGAGCGTCTTGTCCTTGGTTTCGGGCATGAATAGCAGCTGGTATATCTCACCCAGGACTGCAATACCTCCGTAGAAACCAAGCACAAGTCCGGTCTTGCCCATGGCGATCTGCATGGCCGAGAAATTGTACGTCACGGTGAAAGACATTAGGAAAAGCAGCGCGTCAGACGTTGTCATGCCGTAACTGCGCAGGTAAGTCGGGTAGACCTCCGATGGAACAACTAAGGGACGGAGCGATGTTAGTTTGTAAGGAAGGCGCGCTAAAGTTGGGGACCAGGCGAATGGAAACTCACCCCACGTCAAACAAGCGTATGATCCGAAAAAGCCCATGTACAGGACAAGACCCGTAAAGTACAGTCCCTGGACGGCCACCAGCTGCGTGTCCAGCGAGAGCTGGTAACTAACACCGATGAGCACCAAGCCAACGAAGAAGCCAGGAAGCGTTATAATGGCCCAGAAACGACGACCAAATGTCTCCATGAGAAAAATAGCGGGAATTGTTCCGAGCAGAAGAGCACCGCCACCAACGAGAGACATGTAGTTGGCCTTCTCGGGATCGAAACCGATCTGGTTGAGCAGTATCGACATATAATACATTACAGCGTTTACGCCAGTCAGCTGACCGAGGATAATCATGATGTTGGCGTAGATGAGTGCACGTCGGGCTCTCGGGTTTCTGAAAAGAAGTGTTAACAAGTGTCATGGAAGGGGGCTAAAGATGGTCTGGGTGGAGGATGTACGTACGTAAAGAAATCCATCCATGGAAAGCGCTTGTTCTTCGCTCCTTCCTGGACAGCGGTGTGCTCTTCGCGGACACCGGCTGTCATAACGAAGAACTCTTCTCTGGCTTCAACCGACTCGACACCACGGATACGCTTCCACACCTTGTAAGCGTCGAGCATGTGACCTTTGTGGATCAGATAGCGCGGGCTCTCTGGTAGGAACAGCATGCTGTTTAAAGTAAAAGAAAAAAAAGAAAAGAAAAGTTTAGTGACATGGGCAAAATGTGAATAGCGTTTCGCTGAAATACAGATAATCTTACCCGATGAACATGATTGTGGAAAAGACGAGCGAAGAGCCGAGGATATACCGCCAGTTTCCAGGAACGCGTAGGAAAATGGCCGCCACAGCATAGCCAAGAACTTCGCCGAGAGCAATGTTGAACTGGTAGAGAGATACAAGGTTGCCGCGAAGGCGACGCTCCACGGTTTCAGCCACATAGATGGGAACGGTGCCGCCCTCGAGGCCAACACCGAGACCGAGGATGACACGGGCAGCAACAATCATAGCTAAAAAGACATTGGAGGTTAGTGTACTCGCCCCCAACTTTCCAAAAGGGCGACATAGGACAGACCAAAATTGATCGAACCAGCTTCCAAAGCGGCACCGACCGTGTACAAGATGATGGAAAGAATGATGGCGTTCTTCCGGCCGAGATATTCGTTGGCGGGCGACAGGAGAAGGGCACCGCCGACAGCGCCCAAGGGCATGCCTGAGTTGACCAAGCTGTTCTGACGCGTATCGAGGCCCAGGTCTACGGGCAGGTAAAGGTTCGCGCCCGAGATCAGACTCTGGTCCAGTCCGGACAGAAGACCGCCCATACTGGCGAAAGCCACGAGCAGCCATGTGAACTTCCTCGGGTCGTCGAACGCAATGTGGAAGACGCCCGTCTCCAGTCCACCAGACTCGTCGAGCAGTCGCTCCATGTCTTCGATCATGTCATTGACCTGGGCACCGCCACCGCGGACGACCTCCATGGCCTCGGCCTGGGATTTCTCGTGCTCCATCGTGTAAAGGGCGAAGAGACCGGGTGCGGGAGTTGCAAAACAAAAGCAGTTTGAAAATTGAACAAATGAAGATAAGATGATGAGAACCCAGAGTCACCAATATTTTGCAAATCGGGGGGATTCGACCTCTTTTATCAGCGACGCCGTGTAACGGTCCTTGGTCGGCTTCTCCACATTGTGATCGTCCTCTACTGAGTACCTTCCTGTCACGCGTCACTCTTGTCTCGCCACTGTTACCTCTTCTCCGAGAGTCTCCCTTTGCTCCCGCACTTCGCCCACACTCTCCCACATCACTTGTCTCTCTCCACACTCCGCACTCCAACCTCCAGCGGAGTCGCTCAAGTTGGATATGCAACTGTGGAGATCGACAAATAAGCCCTTTGCGACGATTACCCCAGTTATGTGGTCTTACGTCTTTTTGTGTGGATGACCCATCGAGTAAGCGTGTATTTCTTGTTCTCGGGACTACCGCATCACCCGTGGTGGCGAATTGTTTTCTTTTTCCCCATTAGAACTACGCCTAGTTGCCATTTTTGCTTCTAAATGGGTGACAATTACCGAAGCAGTAGTTGCTGTTTGACCCTCAATAGCAAAGCAAAGCATCGATGGGACGCGGCTTTTTCCAACTGCGATGTGTTGACTCCATCTGAAGTAAAAGGACCGACTGTCTGCCGTGAGTAAGGTGTGTTTGAGAAGTGGAGAAAAAATGGAACTGAAGTCACCAAAGTCACCAAAGTCACCAAAGTCTACGGCGCGCCGTATGCCGCGAGCAGCTGCTGGTACATGGTGACAATGGCGGGCTCCAACCATACACAGTAAGTGATCGTTGCTGGATTCATGGCTAAACACTTATCCACGGCAACTCCGCTTAGGATCTGATCTACGCCATGTACAGGCGCCGGTACCCATAAACTAAATCAAGGGATGCCGCCACTAGCAGTGCAACTACCGCCACTAGCTAACAATCCCTGTGCCGCCAGTGTTTTGTTAAGCAGCTATGGCGTTTTGGATCACAGCGAGCAAAACAACGAGCCAACACACAGGGCACAAAGGGACGCAAATCTTAGACAAGCAACTAACGGAAAGGATGCCCAAGATTCTAGAAAACGTCTAGTGGGATCGAGTTTGGAGAATCTGGGGTGTGCGTGCGCGTGCTTGGTCCGACGGAGTTCACCGCGGTGCCGTATTGTATGCGTGCCTCTTTTGGTTTGCCCAGTGTTTCTGACAGCCAATAGCATTGTTTCCTCCGTTTGTTGGTGTTCTGCGCCTCGAAATATTTTGTTACAAAGATGCCACAGAGGCATCACAATTTACTTCTACCGCAAAAGGAGGACAACTACAAAACGTCAACGACAATCCATCTTGGACTTTTTCATCTGAAAAAGGGCAGCACACAAAGACAATAGTCTTCAATGGATTGCCTTGCAAAGCTCGTGCGCGCACTGAGTGGGCCCTGTTCGGTGGGCCTCCCAATTGAAATCGCTCGGTAGGCAGACTGTACACACCTTCACCTTAGCAGTGGAGTATGTCGACGATTTATTCAACTTCCGCAGCTGGGCCACTGGACCCCGTTCCGCCGAGTGAGGCAGCGAGAAGAACAGCGAAGCACTGGATCCACTACGAAGCTTAGCTGTGTTATGTTTCTGATTCGTGAGCAGGTCTGTATTCACTCTACGTCGTAGAGAGTCTAGCACTATGTATTTTGTAATTATTCTGTAATTACGAAATACAACAAGGCATGCGGGGCCACTTTAGTGTGAATGCTGCGGAGCCGACGTCTCGAACTTGAGGTGTGAAGACGTCACGGAGTCCTGTTCGGCGAACATCAAATGTGAACATACTCCGTGCGCTGCACGGCCTGACCTGTAGGAACAATATCGAAACTTGACTGTCAATCGAGAACCCCGACACTCGTCTGATGTCAAGGCTGTTTGAGAAGCCGGTACACGGCTGTTCATCAGCATTTGTTCGTCCCCGATGCTGAATCCTAAATCCTAATCCTCAGACGACATTTCTCAGGAGCCGTCGCTTCCGGGGGATGAACTAAACAAACCGCGCACACGCGTCCGGGTTTGTGAGTCGGGCTCCTGTGAATCAGCCGGCGCGAGAACGCCTCTAGAGAGGGCTCGTGCAGCGCGAGCAGAGATTGATAGTGGCCATACCAACTTCCAGATCTGTCACTCTCTCGCCAGAGCCGTTGCCAATGTCGCCAATTTCGTTGTTGCTTTCACTGTCGGAGACACTCTCGTGCTGAGTACTCTCCTCAGACACCGGCACCCACTCGAAATAATCGTTTAGTTCGAATTCAATCTCCTCCTTGTCGAACTGTTCGTCATACTGTTCTTGCAAGCTATCCACAATTGCTTGGATACGATCATGGTACTCTTTGTCGATCATCTTTTCGACGACGTCGTCGACCTCCTCGTACGTCAGATTGGCGTCGTCTTCCAAAGGGACTTGGAGGGCCTTTTCTGCGTTGGCGATCCACTTGTCTCGGGCCTCTCTCATTTCTTCAGTATAATCGGGCAGCCCCTTGTAAAGACGCAGCGCCTCCTGGGCATGGAAAACATAGTCTTCGGGCGAGTGGGCCAGAATGTAGTGTGCCCCAGCTTTTTGGAAATCTCCGAGACCTGGCTTCGTCAAAAGAGAAGCACACATGCTGTTCGCTTCTAGGATAATGTAACAATGTCTCAGTTTGTGGAAGCAGGAGTCAGAATTGGGGTCGGGATTTCGTAGCGTAATTACCAGAGAACTTCCTGTCCTGGAAAAATTCAGCCGCGCGCATGTACAACCGCGCGTGCTCTGGAATCGCGTTAGAATAAGACGCAAAGCAGTAATCAAAACAAGCAAAGAAGGGACGCGATTTTCGCACCCTGGAAGACAGCGTTGCGCGTGGAAATCGGGAATGGACCTCGATTGTATTCCTTTTGGTCGGTCATCTTGACAAGATAGGTCACCCAGGGGAGTAATAGATTGTTGAGGATGACAGCACTTTGAGTTGTCTTGTTGTCGAGTGGGGAGTGGCCTGGCCAGGTCGATCGATGGGTGATTGCGAAGCGCGAGTCAAAATGCAGGGGTGGAGCTTGCGTGAAGATACGGAGTACACTGACCATAAAAGCGAGCCAAAGCAAGTTCTGTACCTCAGCTTAGCTAGGCAGCTGTCAGGGCTGTCTCCACTGTTGTGGTTAGTTCCTTGTAACTAATTCGTAGTGTTGGAATATTTCTTTGCCAGCAGGCACTCACCCCGTCCGTTGCAATGGCTGCCAAGCGCCCCAATATGTGCTGAGGGTGCTGCATTCAAGGCGTATCCCATTGTCCGGATGTCAAATACAGTTGCATAGCCAAAAATGTGTGCGTCATTATGTGCGTCTGTGGAATTATCGCCAAACCCATAAAATCTTCACTTCCATGGTTTTGTCTTTGGACCTGAATTGTGGGTCACAAGTTCTGGTCACATGTTATGTCCCGTGACCGTACTTCCTCTTACAGCGCCATGATTGGCCACCTGACACCACCGACACTGACTTGTAAAGATATAAGCCTCCTACAATAGGATATCCAAAATGGTGCTGGTGCCGGACCTTCCTGTAAGAAAACAATTGATGGGGCCATAAAACACTTAAGGGGACTAAAGGCCCGTAAAATACTGGGCATTCTTGAATTTGACAGGTTTGTTTCTCCCCTTAAATTTATCTCGTTTACAAAAATCCCAATTGACAACCTATCTATCGTGCCGTGTTAAACAACGATCGACTAACGAACGCCAACCATTTAGGCGATTTTTGGGTGTCAAGTATTTACTGTAATTTATAAATCCTTTTTTTTAAAAAAAAAATTTAATTTCTTTCTCGGTCTGTCCCTCTTTTTATTTTCGTTGGCCGTGTTAGAAATGAAATTATATTATAAAACAAAATGAAGACATGAGACTTGCACCACAAATATGTCGTCAAAAATAACAATATAATCCTCACAAAATACACGAAGTAATGGGTAATTGAAATTAACCGCATACCTCAATGGCCCACCTATGTTTTGATATACAGTTCGACTGTGTCCAGCACGCAACCAACCACTTCGTCTGTGCTTCTAGACCCCAGAAGCCACACGCTGCGACATCCGGGTGCCGGGACCAGCCGGGGTCGGTCCCGCCCCCGCACTTTACATGGGCTTTAGCACTTTTCATCCCCAGTTCCTGCCCCCAATTTGTCAGCTATTCTTTTTTTCCCCTTTTCATTTCGGGCTTTCCCACACTGCATTTTTCGTCTCGCTCTCGCTCTTCTCTCAGAGCTTGGCCCACAACGCGTCCATACAAACTCACTTCTCAGTGGGATTGATGCCAGTCGCCTGGCCGCACGCACATGCCTCTGGCTAACTATGCTATAGCTCCCAACCCTTCAGCAACGTGCTTGCTACCTCATGCATGATCGCAAGGAAAGCGAGTATAGATGGGATGATTTGGTGCATTTTCTCGGACTCTTTACACTTCTTGCCCTGCGTGCATCGGGCCACGATACCAAATTTGGGAGTACGTGCGAACAAGCGGTGACAGTTTGTCCGGAGTCTTGAAGTGAGGGGCGTTTTAACCTATCTCAGCATTCAACCGTCGTCACGATCTCACTCCGTTCCATGCTTTAGCTCTGAGTGCTACTGAGCTGGCACAAGGACGCAGTAGTAGCTTTTCTCCACGAGGAAGACTCCTGTTACTTTATCCCCGTTATAAAATGCCTCCATCACGAGCCGACGATCATATCCTTCATGCCGAGGCTTTTGTGTGGATAACGATACACGTCATGCAGATTTGAACGCACCCCTGCCTGATACATACCAAAAGCTATATTGTCCGTGCGCCATTTGCTTCCTTATTGGGCATTTTTTTGAATGTCCATCGCCTTATTATCCAATCCACCAATCCACGAATCCTCCACACCCTCCACATCCTCCACAGACGGCCCTGACATTAACCCCGTGGGGAAGTGGACTAGACATGTGAAGACGACCTAGCAACGATCTGCAAGCACGACATAACGGTCTGCCTGCCACCGCGCTTTAACGTTTATTATGTGAAGCTTAAAAACGATCTTAAGCCTAGTAGAATGACGGGCAGGTCAAAGAAAAACACACTCCTTGCTTGCACGAGCACAAAGCAAAGGCTACTTGTGACAGACAACGACAAACCAACCTGAGCAACAAGGGTCTATCTGGATTAGATGGCCGACGGACCGTGGGGACTTTGACAAAAAGAGTAACATGTCCACGCTGGCGGCCAATATTAAGAAGGAGAATAGAGGCAAAGCGCCAAAAAATGAACTAAATCACTACAAAACTTAACCACAAGTGTATCCAGCTGCGGTTTGATCCCCCCTCACCAAAAAAGGACCAACTGATCCCGTCGATCCCATTAGCTCCATGAGTCTAAGCTTTCTCGTCTGGTTCTAAGTATAAGAATGACAAGGTAAATATTAAACAATACGTGACTAGCGAAAAGTGATCGTGAGGCTTGTGAGAGTCACTGGTTTCCATGAGAATACGACTACGACCGCACGTATAAGACGTCTATTTAAGAGGCGACGATGCGCCGTTCGTGCAGCCTCAACCTGCCATGAACAAACCAGTTGTATCCCCTTGTGCTCATCACTAAACCTGTTTTCTATATCTCAAACTGCATTATGGCGGGTTTCACTGCACGTCTTACGTTCATGGCCCTTGCTCTGGCTAGCACTGTGACGGCCGCTCCGCCCTCTACTCCGGCCATCATGGAGCGTGCTGCGCAGGTTACCATGGTGCTGCCACTGGGTACCGTGATCGGTACGTCGTCGAACGGCGTCGAGTCCTACAACGCGATCCCCTTTGCCCAGCCTCCTACTGGAAACCTGCGTCTTAAGCCCCCCGTTAAGCGGACGGCGTCCTACGGTGTGCTCGACGGCACCGGCCCTGCCGCGGCCTGCCCACAGTTTGTTGAGAGCACCAGCGGCTCGCTTCTGTCTTCAGTGATCGGTACACTGGCCAACAGTCCGTTTATACAGACGACGACGGACCAGACCGAGGACTGCTTGACCATTGATGTCTACCGCCCCGCGGGCACGAAGGCGACTGACAAACTGCCGGTCTTGTTTTGGATTTTTGGTGGTGGCTTCGAGGTATAGTCCAGTCCACCTGCACTAAAATTAAATTAGTCTTGTTCGTCCTTCCCCAACGTTAGTGCTCTAACACGACTTTTCTGTAGCTTGGCTGGACTTCCATGTACGACGGCGCTGGCCTCGTAGCCGTCAGCATTTCCCTTGGCAAGCCCATGGTCTTTGTTGCCGTCAACTACCGTGTTGGTGGCTTTGGCTTCCTGCCGGGTGCTGAGGTCTTGGCTGATGGCGCGTCCAATCTGGGCCTGCTCGACCAGCGCATGGGACTCGAGTGGACTGCCGACAACATTGGCTATTTCGGCGGTGACTCCGGCAAGGTTACCATCTGGGGCGAATCGGCCGGTGCGATCTCGGTGGCTGACCAGATGATGCTCTACAACGGCAACAATACATACAAAGGCAAGGCCCTCTTCCGTGGTGCCATTATGGACTCTGGCTCGATTGTGCCTGCGGACCCCGTCGACTGCCCCAAGGGCCAGGCTGTTTACAACCAGGTGGTCGCCAAGGCGGGCTGCTCGAGCTCTTCGGATACCCTGGCCTGCCTCCGCGCTGCGCCCTATAATACATTCCTAAACGCCGTCAACTCCGTGCCGGGAATTTTGTCGTACAGCTCCGTCGCCCTCTCGTACCTGCCGCGTCCAGATGGTGTCGTCTTGGTTGACAGTCCCGACGTTTTAATTACGAACAACAAGTATGCCGCCGTGCCGATGATCATTGGTGACCAGGAAGACGAAGGAACCCTCTTCTCGCTCTTCCAGAGCAACATCACCAATACAAACCAGCTGGTGACCTACTTATCCGACTACTATTTCCACAATGCCACCACCGCCCAGATACAGGCCCTTGTCGCCACTTACCCCGACAACGCCAGCGCAGGCTCGCCCTTCAACACTCTGCTGCTCAACGAGGTCTACCCAGAGTTCAAGCGCCTGGCCGCCATCCTCGGCGACCTTGTGTTTACTCTGACGCGGCGTGCCTTCTTGGCCGAGACCAACAACCGCAACCCGTCCGTGCCGAGCTGGTCCTACCTCGCCAGCTACGATTACGGCACCCCCGTTCTGGGCACCTTCCACGGCAGTGATCTGCTGCAAGTCTTCTACGGCATCCTGCCGAATGCCGCCAGCAAGAGCATCCACAGCTACTACTTCAACTTCCTGTACAACCAGGACCCCAACAACGCCTCCGGCGGTACCAGCAGCACTGCAAGCCGGGTCAGCCTTACCTGGCCGCAGTGGGGTGCGGGCAACCAGCTGGTGCAGTTCTGGGCCGCGACGTCGAACCTGTTGGCCGACAACTTCCGCAACTCTAGCTACACCTGGATCACTTCCAACATTGCGTCGCTGCACTTCTAAGGGAGACGACCACTGGGCATTGAAATTTGCAAACGCCAAACGGTACGAGTTCGGAAAGTGGTTGAGAACAAGACCTCTTTGGTGGATTTAATGTGTTTCGGTACATTTTGTGCCCAGTTTTCACTCTCTGTTTGATTTATTCTATTGCCCCTATTGGGTGACTCGGCTGAGGGAGGGTGGGGGGGGTTTCTGATTATTGTAAACGCAGCGATGTTATGTTGTAACTTGAGAACAATAAACCAACGAAGTAGTTATTACGGAATTGCTCTATTTCTTTGTGAGGTTATAGATGCATTAGGGACGACTTTGCCCCTTCAATGTGGCGAAGTGCATCGTTGACAAGAACCTCTTAGATAATGCAGGCACTAAATTTAGAACAACTTCACGAAGAGAGGCAGCTTCTCATCTCCCTGCAGGCTCAACGGGAATGGAAGCAATTAACTTAAGTCTTAGGTGTAATTGTCGTTTCAGTCCTCAGCTCAACGTACTTGTGCATAGCATCCTCCATAGTGGCAATGCGATTCGTCGTCCTACCACATGGTGAATTGACCGCATAACACACTTGGCAGCGGCTTCGGCTTGGTGGCCAGCCTTTATTTTGATACGTACATGGTCCTGTAAATGTCCCAAGGCAATTTCCCCTCCTATTCGAGCCATTAGACTGGCCTCTCATTGGTATTAGTAGTCTTCCATCAGCCCACCCTATTCCTTCTTGCCGAACAAGCCCTTGAGCCACCCCATACGGTCACGCTCGCCATCATCTCCGTACCGACGCGCGCGACGTCGGACCGCCCGACGCCCAACGCGTGAGTTCACGTCGACGAACACCATAGGCGCGGTGGGATCGTGCATCGCCGCCTGCCGTTGCATGCGCCCAATTTGCTGCCCGGCGTAGCCGCCCACGACGGCGCCTGTAATCATATCCCCGCCGCCGCCAGCAACCAAGCCGCCGACGACACCGATCTGTTGACCCGCCTGCTGCATCTGGTTCTGTTGGCGGCCAGAGAGCGCTGCGACAGGAACGGCAACCATGCCCGGTGGCGGGTCGGGGTACGTTCCCGGCGGGATAAAAATCGGCGCCTTGATGCCGCTGGACGACTCCTTGGACATGTTGTGATGAAGAATAATTTGGTTTTGTGGATTGGAATGAGTGGGTTTGGTTTCGGCCAAGGCCGATTTTGGGCCGATATCTGATGTTGTGACGGGGACGAAACGAAGTGTAATAAAATCGGTAGGAGGCGTCAGAGAGGTAGACGCCGAGTATGTTGACTGACATTCGTTGCGGGGTAAAAGTCTTGTCGAACTTGGCAGAGAACTGTAGGGCTGGCTGGCCCCTTTTTATGTAACGAGCATCCGAGGCAGAGCCTCTCCATGGGAGGCCTTGACAAGATCGGGAGGACGATTGGTTGCTGTGTCCCTTGTCCTGAGTTCCCAACCGTGTCGACGTGCGTCGGAAAGCTGAAAAAACAAATGAAAGGAGAATGTCCCCGTACCCAGACAAGGCGCACAAGAGTCGCCTAAAACGACACATTGTCAAAGATACGAAGTACGAGATTTGGGTCCTACACTCTGAGAGGCCAGACGGGATGCCCTGCCCCACTCGTCTGCAAGGATTTAAAATAAGCTTCTCCATGGCTGTGCTGCATGCACCCCGGCACATAACGCGCTGAACGAGGCCGTGCTCCACACCCATGCCGGACGCCTCTCTCAAAAGCCTTTTAAGGCCACTCGGAGTTCGTTCAGTTTCGTTTATTGATTCAGTTGTCAGCAACACATGCTGCCAGTGCAAGTGGAGTCTGCTGCATGTTTTAACGAACCAGCCACCGAGAGGTTCAATAGACATAGCGTACTTCTTTTATTTACTGCTGCGTCCCTGATCAACAGATGATTCCCTGGTCAGGAGCTTCTTGCAGAATGAAGCCTTACCGAAATTTGCCAACGGCGACGAAACTGCCCACGCCAGACTGCGCGCTGCCCCACCCGCCAAATGCAACTATGCAGTCGGGAATGCCGCCTGCGCGATGATATTGGCCAGCATACGATGCAAGCAGGATTCTGCAGCAAAAGGTTGTTTCCCGTACTGCGCTGACAGGACGTGCAATGTTCTGGACGATCGCTTATCCCCCGTGGTTTGTCACCTGGTCGGCAAGGTATTCAGTATCACCACCGTAATTTTTTCATAATCTAGCAAAACGGGCCTGGGCAGATTAAAGATGCCTCCTATTTATGCACCTATGGAGCGCTCTCCTTTTCGCTTAGTAGTGATTGTCACTGTCTACTTACATGCCAGAACCCATTTATGACTTTCCGCCGGTAAAATAGGAGAACGGCCTCATCATACGTAGCTCCGACTGTGTCACAGCCTCTGCATCTCCTCCACGGCAAGTACTCTGTCTTCTCAACTCCAATCTCATCCAGTACTCCCCCTTTCCCCCTCCTCTCCTTCTCTTTATTATTTAGGCGGAGCATATTGCTGGATAACACTGTGTGGTTCTTGGAACGTGCCAAGCGGTTTGTACGGAATGTCGTAGCCATAGCCGTGCGGGCCGCCGATCTCGATGCCGCGCCCCGTATCTGTCCAGCGCGGCGAGCAGGCGATACCTAGCACGACGACATGACAACCGTAGCGGTACTCGGGGACGCCGACCGGTTTTCCATTGTCACGGTCCAGCAGCGCAATCAGGTCTGGGACGGTAGCAATGACCTTTGACGAGCCATCAGCGCCATCGCGAACGTGCTCCGCGAGGATATTTTCGTTGACAAAGGGGATGCGAAGGGTCCCGCCCGTGGCTACAGAGGTTTCTCTACCATCGCCTTCATCGTCATCGAAAGTGGCCGCAATGTGTAGGACACCGACGGACAAGCCCTTGTGCAGTGTCCGCTCGATGGAGGTGATCTTGCCGCGGAAGAGAATGCGTGCACTCGTTGCGCCGCCGAGCTCGCGGATCACCGTCTCAGCGGCGCGCACCGCGTCGTGGCGAGCCACGGACAGGGCAATGGCACGTCCGATGCGCCAGGCCAGAGACAAGCTGCGTTGCACGGCAAATTGGCGAACAGCAGCACCCGTCGTCGGCGCAGGCGCCAAGCCCACGAGTGAGCCCAGCTCCGACAAGGCACCCCGCAGAGGACGGTCGACATCTTCGTCGCGTGGCGCGCGTGTCAGCAGCAGGGTGCGGCCGGTGCCCGAATCAATGGCACACGGGCAGAAGTGGCCGGGCTGGTGCACGGTCAGCGTGGTCTGCCAGCACATGGGGTTGGCCCGGCCCATAAAGTCGGCATCGAGGACGGGGCGGTCAAAGAAGCGCGACGAGCCCCACAGCAGCGGCTCGAGCCCGTTGGCACCGCCAATCTCGAGCCCGACCACCGCGTCCAAGTCGTCGTGCCGCAAGTAGTCCATCAGCGCGCGGATCGCGAGCACGGTCTCGTGGGCCTGCAGGCGTTCCGCGATGGCGGCGGGCGAACCCATGCGGCCGCCCCAGTAGACCTGGGCATTGTCGGCGATAGCGGACACGTCCGCGGCATCCACCACCCTCACGCGGTGGCCAGCATCTAGAAGATCTTGAAGCTGCAGACGGCCGGCGCTGGGGTTGCCCCCGCCGCCACACCCGAGCACGTAGCAGCCGTCGGCCAAAAAGTCGATGTCGGCCTTGGTCAGCAGCCATTCTGCGACGCCTGTGGTCTTGTTGCGCACTACGATTGGTGTGTACGATTCGACGTCAACGGCGTCCTCCCGCGTCACGCTAGGCCCTTGTTCTTCTGTCGTTTGAAATTCGGCCTCGGTCTCTGTGTAAGCTTCGACGTCGATAAGGCCGGCTTGTGACGCTTGTGAGGAGGCAGTTGCTGCGGCAGCCGTCAGGTCCAAATCGCCAATGCTCGTCACGATGAAGCGCATGCGGTTGTCGAGGTATGGGATGGGTATGGCGTCCACCTGGGCAATATACACAGAGTCTCGCACGGCACCCTGCGCAACGGCACGATCCACGGCCAACTGCGCCACTTCCTCCTTTATCTCGGTAGTAGATTTCTCGCTGATGCTCCGGATTGTGTCCACGGTCACGCCAACCCCAGAACACGCCGCACCGACCGCGTTGGCCACGTCATAAAACGGCGGCCGGATTACCTCTGACGCACCAGCGATATCACCTGGGGCCAGGATGGACCCGCCGCCGGTCAACAAGACGGGAAGTGGCAGCGGTGACGTTTTGACGAAATCGATGGCTTGGCTGAGCATGACACCAACGCGCTCCAGCACCGCATCTACCAGGGTTCTGTCGAGGCCGGTCACTGTAGCAGGCACGTCCGATACAGATGCAATGCGCGCCCGGCCCGCAGCGACGGCGATGTCGGTTGCTGTCGTCGTCCGGCCACCGAAGAGAAGACTGCGCTCAAGATGGGCTCCCACGGACGCCGGTCCAACAACCGCTGGGCCGTCCGGTTTTGCGAGACTCACCAGCGAGCCACCACCGAGACCGATGGAATGCAGATGCGGCAGGGCGTAGTTAACGCTAACACCTCCGACAGACACATATGTGGCTGCTGGTCGTGGAAGTCCTGACGGCAACAAGACGCCGACATCGGTGGTTGTCCCGCCCATGTCCACGACAATCGCGGCTTGTCCTGCCAGATCCACCGCACCGCCGCTGCCTTGCTCTGCCTGTGCAGATCGGGTGAGGCCAGCTAGATACGCCGCACCGCGCATGGAATTTGTGACGCCAGAGGAAAAGGTACGGATGGGAACACGTGACGCCGCGGCCACGTCGAGGACGGTACCGTCGTTCTGTGTCAGATACAGCGGGCAGTTGGCAAGTCCGACGTTGCTCAGGGCCTGCTCAAATTGCCTGATTGACCGACGGGCGAAGCGTAAGATGGCCGCATTTAGAATGGCCGCATTTTCTCGCTCGAGGAAGCCTTAGGTAAGGCTGTTAGAAAACGTTGAAGTGACCAGCCACCTGTACACAAATCGGCCAACCTGACTCACCGATATTGGCAACTTCATGCGAGCAGACGACGTCCACGCCCGGCAGCTCGCGTTGCAAGATCGTCCGGACTCGGTCTTCCTGATGGAATGTTTGGTCAATTGGTGCGTACACGCCAGCGACGACAATGGCCTGCAGACCGTGCGCCCGGAACTGACGACTCTCTCTCACAACCTGGCTTTCGTCAATGGGCGCCTCTTCGGACCCGTCAATGTTCAGGCCGCCGTTGACATAGCCGACGTAGCCTCGCACAAGCGCCGCCAGATCCGCGGGCCAGTCGCTCAGTGGCGGGATGTCGCGCAGGAAGCTCTGGGACAAGCGCAGCACGCCCACGCGCTCCAGCCGGCGGGGATTGCGCTCAATAACGGCATTCAGAAACGCCGTGGTGCCAACTGTGACGGATGCAATGCGCGACCGATTGATCTCGGACGCCTCCAGCACGGCCTTCAACGCCGTCACGACACCGGACGTGGCGTCATGGGTCGTGGGCGTTTTGTGGAAGGCCAGCACGCCGCGGTCCGGTGCTGCCCGTTGCGCCGGATCCAGGACGACGGCGTCCGTGTTCGTTCCTGCATGGTGAGGCAGGTTAGTCGCCTGGTCAGCCGTTTGTATTGCCGACTACAGAAGTGTGCGAAGCATATTTATGTAAACAAATGACGAACCTCCTACGTCGATCCCGATGCGCACTGGGCGATTTAGTGATGCCATGTTGTGCAGTACACGGGGTGGTGATTTGTATGGGAAATGTTGGGCTATGTTGGGATATGTCGGGGTGTTTGTATCCCGACCATCAGCCGGAGTTGTTTTGTTTGTTTCCATCTAGAGTTTGCGTTGGGTACCGGTAAGCTGCATGTCGTCTTACCTTGTCAATCAGCGAATAGATTGCCGTTTGAGGGCAGGCGCATCCGCGCTGGGGAGAAGACTAACGCGACAACGACGCATGCTCCCTGTTAGTCCGGTTGCCAGCTTCCGGAGCGTGTCCGGAGCATGTCCGGTCAGCCAGCACGATATTTACAGTCAAAATGTCGCCATCGCAGGATTTCATTCATGATTGGCATTGTTCCTGTTGAGTCCACATGGCGCCCAGGACGCGACCCGGCCGCCTGGTTCCTTGCATAGCACTACCACCTTCTCGTGAACACCAGTAAATATCGACAAGACGAAAGGTGAGAAAAAAATGAAATAAACTGAATTAAAATAAGTATAAAAGACAGGGGAGGGAAAATGACACGGACCGTGCCAAAACTCGATGCATCACTTGGAACAGCTTAATACATAAGCGAAACCGTTCCCGGTGTCAGTCCGCATCATTGGACGTCAGACCTCCGCCCATTTTCAATTAACACCCATCCCACCACCAAACATGGCCGTCCTTCGCTCTGTCTCGCGCCGGCTCCGTCTTCACCAAGGCGACGACGATGTGCCCCCAGACCGCTGGCAGAACCGCGACCTTGTGCCGCTTCCGCCCAGCCGGCGACTCTGGCAGGACGTGGATTTTGTCAGCCTCTGGAGCACCGTCTTCCTAACTATCTATGCATGGCAAGCGTCCTCGGCGCTCATGTCGTACGGCCTCAATGTCTGGCAGTCTGTCATCTGCACTGTTATTGCCCGCGTTCTGATCTACGCCGTGATTTTGAGTCTGGGCTGGATCGGCGGCGTCTGGCACATCTCGTACACAGTGCAGTCGCGTTACACATTTGGCATCTGGGGCTCGTTGCTGCCCATTTTCCTGCGCGTTGGCGTTACATGTGGTAAGCTACCGCGGCCCTCTTCCGTGTTTTCTGTGTTCTTCCGTGTTCTTCCTCTGTACATCCTTAACGCACTATTTGTTTTCGCATCCTCGCGACATTCACTGACGCGTGCAGTATGGTATGGCGTACAGGGCATCACAGGCGGCCTCTTGGTAAGCTGCATCCTATCGTGCATCTTCCCGTCCTACCAGAACATGCGCAACACGCTGCCAGCATCGACAGAGATGACCACCAAGGAGTTTGTGGGCTTTGTCGTGTACAACATCATCGCCCTGCCCATCTTGTACCTGCCACCCGACAAGATGCGCAAGCCGCTGCGCGTCGCCCTCGTTGTCAGCACGATTACCATCTTCGGCCTGTCCATTGGCCTGATGGCAGCCGCACACGGTGCAGGCAGCTACGTGCGCCGCCCGGCCAGTGCAGCCTCGGGCGGCCCGCTTGGCTGGGCCTTTGTGCATGGCACCACCACCTTGCTTGGTGGCAATGCCGTCGGCATGACGAGCCAGACAGACTTTTCGCGCTTTGCACGGCGGCCGCGCAACATGATCTGGGGCCAGGCCATTGGCGTGCTCTTCTTTGGCCTTGTGGTGCCCGTCTTTGGCGTCCTCGGCACGTCTGCGGCCGGCCAGCTGTACGGCGATGTCACGGAACTGGGGCTCTGGAACCCGCCCACCATTCCGCAGATCTGGCTCGACGAGCACTACCACGAGCCCAAGATGCGCGCCGCCGCCTTTTTCGTGTCGCTGGGCCTGCTGCTCAACATCCTGGCGCTCAACTCCGTCGAAAATGGCGTGTCTGGCGGCATGGACTTTGCCGGTCTATGGCCCAAGTACATCAACATTCGGCGCGGCTCCTACCTCATTGCGGCCGTCGCCGTGGCCATGAACCCGTGGTACATTCTCGCCGACGCTGCCAACTTCACGTCGGCGCTGAACAGCTTTGGCATCGTGCTCGGCCCTATCATGGGCGTCTACACTGCCGACTACTACGTCGTGCGCAAACAGTTGGTAAAACTCGGCGACCTCTACCACGACAACCCGTCGGGCATCTACTACTTTTTCCACGGCATCAACCTGCGCGCGTTTGTCGCTTGGATTGTTGGCTTTGCACCCGCCATCGGAGGCATGGCATCGGTCAACCCACAAAACAATGTGCCCGACGGCCTTGTCAAAGTCTTCTATCTGGGCTTCCCTCTGGGCTATGCGCTGTCGTTTATTGTACACTGGGGCCTGAACATTGTGTTCCCACCGCCCGGCTTGGGTCAGGTTGATTCGTACGACTCGGTGAGTTTTGGCCACTCTGATTCTGCCATAATTCGTTCCTACCTTCGCTACACTCACTGACATATATTAGTACGGCACGTTTTCGACCGAAGAAGCACTTGCTTTGGGTATTGAACCTAACGACGGCAACCGGGACGAAGGGGACCCAGAGTGGACCTCCAAGGAATCCAATGTCGCGGAGGCTGCACTTTGAGAACCCATTAGTAAAGAATATGACGAGCGGCCCTACGTAGTTATTTTAAACTGGCATTTTGTTTACATTGTTGTAAATGTTCGATGTAACTGGATAAATTGCATGACTACATCGATATAAGTCTGTGCATGTACGGTGTCCCAGATCAGGTTATCTTGATGTCGTATGTGCTCCACCGCGTCCCCCAAGACGTGAGAGTAATTACTCGTTCTGTCCTAGTCCACTAAGTCTGTTCAAGACGTCGTCCAGGTTCTTGATGGCCTCGAGTGTCGGTGGGTTCGGTACTCTCTCCCGCCATGTCTCTTTGCCATTTTCGTACACAACGAGTGTTGGCCACCAAACGACCTGTGCTGCTTTCTGGACAGTCGTACCAGGCTCAACGAGTCCATTTATCTATCGAGCAGAAATAGAAGAATTAAATTACCGTCATTTTATTGTAACGGTTTGGTCCTCTTTCATCTCTTACCTTAAAGAACCGAAATTTTGCATTGCTCGCCTTGGCTGCCAGTTTCTCGTAGTGCGGCGCAATAACCTGCATTATATTCGGTGTAAGCAATCTTGTTCGGGGTTCTCATCGCATGTGCACACCTCACCTTGCATGGCGGGCATTGTGTCGAGTAAAAGTCCAGCACGACCACGCCGGGCTTTGCAAGCTCTGCCTCGTATGCCGTCAAGTCTGCTAGCTCAGCAATCTGTGTCGTCATGGTGTCGTCTGTGTGCTCTGTATGTTCTTTGCTGTCGGGTACGGAATGCCATTGATCAAAATGCAGATGGCAGAGTCGTTTCCCATCCACTAAACTTATAATACTGCTACAGGAACGGACTTGGCCAGCGAATGGCGACAGCACCCTAGCATATGTCGTTGGCTTCAACGGTCTTTAGCGGGGAATGCTCCGTGCTCGGGGCACTAAGTGGGACTCTTCGTCCCTAGGCTTACATGGCCCTGTGGCGGCAGGCAACATTATGTCGAATAATTAACTTTACAGACTAACTCTGCGCCAACGACAATACATCCTTTGGCTCTGACAAAGTTGTGGATTACGGCCGTCACAACTACTCTGCAACTTACAAATGGGTCATTTAGTGCTCTGCTACAATTTATACCCCAGAAATGAGAAATGTAAGGGAAGAAGCTTGTAGCATACATTATTTAACGGATGCTGACCATTTTGAAATCCTGCATGGGCCCAAACCCGATCGAGGGTCTCGTTGAAAGCCGTCCATGTCCGCACGGCAACAAGGTGGCTAAGTGACACTTGATAAGACTACGGCACATAGAAACGGCATTGTGCTTTTCAAGTTCGATATTTCGGTCTGCAGCGACCGGAACAAATTTAGATCCTGTATTTGAACGTCCAAATCACTGGTAGACTTGGCGATAAACCTTTGTTGTTGTTGCTTAAGCTAAATGGCCATCGTGGACGTCCTGCTGGTTAAGTATTTGACCACCGACTCTCGGCTTTCCTGGGATCAGAGATTCGACCTAGACATCATGCGCAAAGAACAACTACAAGGTGCAGTCGACCAATGTTCGTCCGATACATTGGCCGAAAATATGTACAGACGCCAATAACGACACTTGGGATCGTTGTGGACAAGGAGTCGGGCAATTCTGGCTTTGCGGACGAGAAATTCCCACACTGAATCGCAAGTAAAGCGGTAACTGTAAGTGGTACTTTTACAGTCGGTAAGGATGGGATAGTGCCTCTTCATCTCATGCTGGTCGGCCAAGGTATGACAGGCCTCGATACGTGGACCATTAACCCAGAAAGCCACGATCTGATGCGTTGGCTGTCTCCAAGAACGGAGCCCTGTTCTGGAAGAGTAGTTTTGTGGCATGGCACCTGAGTTCCACATCGTATCGGTACAAACTCGCACAGCGAGACCGCTCTGCCGTTATGAACGTTTTCAAGATTGCTTTGAATTATATTTAGCAAGGCAGTCCATGCACAGTCAACAACGACCTTCTAGATATAATTATATTGCACATAATCTCGCTCTGGTATTCCAAACTGTCGCAGCAACTTGTGAATGGCCACCTTGTCAGCATGCCACACGTTGAGATACTGGCAGATGGCGGGGATTTCGTATCGCGTCCGAAAGGCAATCCACCATTTGCACTGCCCAGCTTTGCCGTACCACAGGCAGAGAAGCAGAAGAGCGACTGGATCGCGCTGGTGCAGCAAGACTTCAAAAGCGTCGTGCATCTTGCCGGCCACCATGAGGACTTTGCCGAGAGAGGCGTTGTCGTAAGAGAGCGACAGGAGTCGTGACAACGAATGGGCCACGACAAAGTATGGGTTGGTTTCGCGTGTCGAGTACTCGTCGATGCCACAGATCCGGGCCAGGTCCGGCAGCAAGCCCTCGTTGCCCACGCGCGGCACTGGCGACGTTTTCCCGTGCGGGTCGCCGAGCACCTGAAACATGGGCCGAAACACACTGCCCTCGCGCATCGGATTGAGCATATGCCACAGCGTCATC